CAGGAACCATATGGTTTTTTTGTTGTTGTTTTTGTGTTTAGGATAGGCTTTCTCTGTGTAACAGCCTTTGCTGTCCAGACTGGCCTCCACCTCGCCGAGATCTGCCTGAGTGCTGGGATTAAAGACGTGCACTAACACTGCTGGGTCCATATGCACTTTTTACAATTACTTTTGCTATGAGTCCACTTGGTTAGAGAACATAATAGCTAACAGAATAAAAACCCATACAAACCAAAGCAACTTATCAGTGACAAATCCCTCTAGGAATATGTAGGCCACCCCTATGCTTGGATGAACCATTGTTAGGAAATTGTCAGCAGTGTTGTTGAATCTGGTTGGATTTGAGAAAGGGATGTCTGAGCCGGGCATGGTGACACACACCTTTAGTCCCAGCACTCTGAAGGCAGAGGCAGGCAGGTTCTCTGAGTTTGAGACCAGCCTGATCTACAGAGTGAGTTCCAGGACAGCCAGGACTGTTACACAGAGAAACCCTATTTAGAACAACAAAATAAAAAGGAAAGAGAGAAAGAAAGAAAGAAAGACAGAGAGAGGGGGGAGGGGGGAGGGAGGGAGAGAGAGAGGGAGGGAGGGAGAGAGAGGGAGAGGAAAAAAGAACAAGGTCTATAGTGCTGTGCATTATATATGTTCCATTACTTGAATTCTTAAAAAATAAATAAAGGAAGTCACCTATCTATTCTTAATTGGTGTCTGCGGCAGACTGTAGTTCAGTGATTTATCTTAACTCTTAGGCTATGATGTCATATTGTGAGGCACAATTAATAAAAACTCAGAGAAATTGGGGTTCAACCTGAAGACCCAAAAAGCAAAACAGCCAGCTACTGGCTCTTACTTTGACCTCCATCCAAAAATGGCGATCCTGCCTCCAGGAATCTCAGAATGAGACTGTGTCTGAGAGCTGTATCCTCCCACTTTATAATCGTCCCTAGGGCCGGGATTAAGAGCATGCACCACTGGGATTAAAGACATGCACCACCCAGTTTCTATTGCAACTAGTGTGGCTACTGAGATTAAAGGTGTGTGTAAGGCTGAACAGTGAGGCTGTTTTACTCTCTAATCTTCTGGCAAACATTTATTTATTAAAATACAAATGAAATGCCACTATAGTATTGCTGCCTGGGGGACCAGCCTCCAAGCAGCACAGGGTTCAAAGGGCAATTCACAACATTAGACTTTTCTGTCTGAGGGTGTTAAGGAAAAAGACACTTACTCAATCTCTTGATGATTTCCTTCTTTATTCTTCTGTATTTTTTAAGGCCCATGTAGCAGCAGAAAGGTCCAGCCTCTTCTGATAGACGGAACTGGAATGGACTGGGCTTGGACTGGACCCCAAACAGCCATACAAAGACGTATTTATTGATTGTTATACAGTATTTCCTCATACCAAGGTCCCTAATCTAAATTTGCACATCTTACTGAAGACCATCACATGCCTCCATGATTCTAGTCATTCACTATGCATTGTGTGCAATACACAATAATACAAGAGCCTCAAGTGTACCTGAGGTGTCTTGTGACCAAAGTCATAGGATGGCCACAGGACCCTTTGGCAAAACATTCACTGTTTTCTACAAGGATTCTTCAAGATGAAGGTACTTCTGAAATACAGCTGTTCAATCCAATATATCTACCCCATACAGTGACTGTGTTAAATTTCTTACAGAGTACAGGTAAAAACGCTTTGTTTCAGCTAATGATGCACACCGAGACCCGTGACTATGTCTTTTGGCATTAGAGTCTTTCAGCTCTAAGATTAAAGGAATTTGAGCCAGCCTGGTTCCTGGGACTCAACTGTTTCTCTTAATCATTAACTTGAGCTATGATCTAGGCAGCTCCTTTAGTGACCCCTTACATAGACCCCTGCTGTGTGACGTTTCCTTGTAGTTACTTTTATTTATCACAACTCTGTATTTTTAATATTATTATATAATATATTGTATAATATAACATTATTATCAATTAAACAGTATCTGTTAGAGAGAAGTCATTTTTTATTATAGTCTACAGGTAAAAAATGTCCAGTGAGCAGGATGTTTCCATGAGATAAACACATTACATTACAGGCAGTAGGGCATCTCCCCACACCCGATTCACACCAGAGAAAGATAGCAACAGCAACATGTAAGGGCACAACAGAATCAAAAGACATCCTAGAGTCTGTAGTCTCAGGGCCTTGCCTCACCCACCAGAGAGTCTCCTACTGATGGGCTGACACCTCGAACCCCAATTGTCACCTGCTGCTCCCCTGACATGGCTTATGTCTCATTGTGTTAACATGGGTGGAGTGGAACATGTGTTATCTCCCTGTTTTCCTCTTTCTAAGGTTGTGGGTTTTCCAGGATCTTCTGATGAGCTAAGCCTACCAGCTCTTGAGGAGTGGGTACTGTATCTTTTTGTTGGTTTTTCTAGATAGGGCTTCTCTGTAGCTTTGGAGCCTGTCCTGGAACTAGCGCTTGTAGACCAGGCTGGCTTTGAACTCACAGGGATCTGCCTACCTCTCTCTCCCAAGTGCTGGGATTAAAGGTGTGTGCCAACACCGCCCAGCTGTGGTACTGTGTCTTAGTCTCCATCATTCTTGACTGGAGCCCTGATCCTGTTGATACTCTTCTATCATCAGCTATAGTGCTTTCTTCAGTGATACTTTCAGAGAACACATAGGCATTTGGATAAGGACATGAACGAAGTAACAATCTTTGGTTTTTTTCTCTCTCTTTACTCTGCTCAGCTGAGCATAAACTGTGGGTAGTAACGATTACCTAAATTATTCTATTATTAATAAAGACTCCCGAGTCAGATATGGGGTTAGAACCAGATTGATCAGGGGCAGAGAAGTAACTAGTGACCTCCTTTCTTTCTCCTTCCTTAATCCAAAGAACACACATCTTTCTAAGCATCTCTCTACTACCCATGTCTCTCTATATATCTCAGTCCTCCAAAACCTCTATGGCTAATTTTGGTCAGCTATTAGCTAGCTCTGGCCTCGAATACAAGGTAAACCTTATTGCCACAGCAGAGTGGTAGTATGAACAATTCTGCAACAGGGCAGAAATAAAGTTTAGATTTAGATGTGGCCCTTCACTGTTTCCACCTCTGTTCTCACCTCCTGCCCCAGGAAGCTGGAGTGTGTGGAGGATATTTCAAATAGTGAATGAATGGTAGTCAATTCATCTAATCTAATGCAGCAAAATATATTGCTTCTTCAGACTCAAGGAATGTCACCTGGCCAGACTTTAGGAGGCAAGCAAGACCTCTCCCAATTTTTAACTTTGTTAACATAGTTTGTGTGACTAGAGAGAGCTACAAGAGAGACCATGGGAAGGATCTCTCTTGAACAGAGCTCAAGTCTTCACAGCACCCTGGGTTCTTTTGGCCTTTTGCCTAGACCATGGACACATTAAAAAGCAAACAGAAGCAATCACTGCCAAGAAGCCTAAGTGCAGCTGCTGGAATACGGAACGATGTAGTCTTGACTTAGCTCCTGTCTTTACCTGGTTGCCCCCAGTTTCGCCTGTGACAGCAGTCTCTACAGCAGTCTGTGTGGTAGACATCTTACAGCTGGAGAAACTGGAGTTTACAAAATGCAAGGAACTTGCCTAGGATCACCAACTTTGAAGTACAAGACTAGATGCACACCACAATCTGGAACCATACTAGATGTTTCACAGAAGTGAAAGGGAAGTCGATAAAATAATCAGGAAAGCACTGGGGCCCCCGCGGCAGCAGGAATCGCAGGCAGTGCCACACAGAGTAGGCTGGCACGAGCGCCATAGTTGACACTTCCGCCGCTGTGCTGGGCACTCCTGGGGAACTTGTCATCTGCTGTTCTGCTTTTGTGTCTTTCTTCGGGAAGTCAAATGGGACTGTCTACCTGCTTGGCAGCCTCCTTGTGTGTGTCATTGTTCCAGCTGCCAGCAAGTGAAAGGGTTCCGAGGTGGAAAACTGGGTTCTGCTTCCCACCAAGACCAGCATCAGTGGTCAAGAGTGTTTGGATGCTGCCTGGCAGAGTTCAGTTGAAATTTCAGGAAACCTAGAAACTTAAAGTGCAGTTGCCACATGAGGATTAATGGTGGTTTCTGAATTAGTCACAAAACCTGACCACAGATGAAGTGATTGTCCAGCAGAACCTACCAGCTATCAGGAGCAGTCAGAGGAGCGACTGTCAGGGACAGCGCTCTCTAACTTCTAGCTGGTCCTGTGGGGTCTTCAGACCATGAGTCACCTTCTTGAGCAGTGTTTCACTGTAACCACCTCATTAGCCTTAGTGAGCATTTCTCTGTGTATCAGGAGGAGCAGGTTTTTGCCTTTTTATCTTTGTCCTGCCTTAGGCTCTTTTGTGTTAGACTACAGAACACTGGGGCTGAGATACTGCTCAGCCATTTGAGATACTTACTGCTCTTTTAGATGACCTAAGTTTGGTTTCTAGTGCCTGTACCAAGTAGTCATTACTGCCTGTAGCTTATGTTCCATGGACTCTGATGCTCTCTTCTGGCTTCACCAGGCACTCACACATGTGTGCACATACTCCACATACTACATGCACCTACATGCAGATAATGAAAATAAATCCTTTTTAAAAGGACTAGCACTGGGCAGTGGTCTACAAATCAAGTTCCAAGACAGCCAGAGCTACACAGTGAAACCCTGCCTTGGGGAAAAAAAGAAAACAAAAAGGACTAGGAAACGTATTTTAAAACAAACAAAAAATGAGGCTAGTACTCAGTAGGTACCTAAGAATATTTGAGCAATTTGAATTTTCCCTTAAAATCTTTTCTTGTGAAGCTGAAGTGATTCTTATGAATGACTAGTTCAGGTGTGAGCTGCCATGTGGGTACTGGAAATTGAACCTGAGGTCCAGTGCTCTTAACCGCTGAGCTATCTCTCTAGACCCAATATTTTAATTTTATTTTTTTTTAGGTTTAATGTATTTTTTAAATGTGCTGTGGGAAGATGGATCAATAAGCTTTCTACTTTTGTTGTTACAGGTGTTCCAGGACTTGGGTACTGAAGTACTGTCTGGAGCTGCCCAAGGTTACAACATATGCCTCTTTGCCTATGGGCAGACGGGCTCTGGGAAGACATATACCATGCTGGGGACTCCAGTAAGTGTTAGCACTGGAATGAACTATCTTCCTAATGTCACAACAAACCTGTATCTTACATTGTCCTTACCACTGTGATATGGAGCATGACCTCCATAATCAATATTAAAGGGATTAAAGGCATGCGTGTGACCCTCTCCTATACTTAACAATGGCATTTCACTAGTTTACCTGAACAGTAAAGTTTGTATAATTAGTCTCTCTTTGTGAAACTTTGAAAAACTAGACTTTCATGATTCCCTTTGACAATGAGTCCTTGTTGGTCCCACTGGATATATGTATTACTTCCAGGTTCATCACATAAAGCTTCACAATTTGACTGGGGTTAAACCTGGACTGCATTTTAGTGCTATACAGGGATAAGAATGCCGTGTTCAGCTTTCAAAGCTATGTGTATTAGAAGAAAGCAAGAGATGTAGCTTTGCTGGGGGCTTTTAAAAATGTAGAGTATAATGCAAGTTGTTTTTAATCACAGAAAATTGAGGGGATAATGCCAGGTATGGTGGTACATGCCTTTAATCCCTTTAATCTTTGAAGGTAGTAGAGGCAAGGCAAATCTTTGAGTTCCAGGCCATCCAGGGATACACACTGAGACTCTGTCTCAAAACAGACAACAGCAATAAAAATAAAATTAAGGGGATAGCATTCCATAAGAATACCCTTAGTCAGGACCACGAGGGGTGCACCCACCCACTGTGACAGTGGAACTGATCTATTGGGAGCTCACCAAGGCCAGCGGGACTGGGACTGAGTAAGCATAGGATGAAACCGGATTTTCTGAACGTGGCGGACAATGAAGGCTGATGAGAAGCCAAGGACGATGGCACTAGGTTTCGATCCTAATATGTGAACTGGCTTTGTGGGAGCCTAGCCTGTTTGGATGCTCACCTTCCTGGTCCTGGATAGAAGTGGGAGGACCTTGAACTTCCTGCAGGGCAGGGAATTTAGACTGCTCTTCATTCTCGAGAGGGAGGGGGAATGGAGTGTTGGGAGGGAAAGAGGAGTGGGGAGAGGGGGAGGAGAGTGGGGGAAGGGGTAATGTGTGCGAGGAGGGGGAGGGAAATGGGATTTTTTTGTTTTGCAACAACTAAAAAAAAAAAAAAAAAAAAAAAGAATACCCTTTCTAGCCAGGCAGTGGTGGTGCAAGCCTTTAATCCCAGCACTCTGAAGGTGGAGACAAGTGGATCTATGTGAATTTGAGGCTAGCCTGGTCTACAAGAACTAGTTCCAGGACAGAGTCCAGAAACCCTGTCTCGAAAAAACAAAACAAAACAAACAAACAAACATAGAAGATATAGAAGTATGCTAGTGAGATGACCTGGGCACTGGTTGACAAATAACATTGTATAGAAACAATCTGAAAAAATAGCCCACTTCTCTGGGTACAGCTCACTGTTCCCTTTGTCTGTGGTTAGTGTGGTTTCAGACATTTGAAATTAATAAAAAAAATCCTACTAGGTCAAAGGGGATAAAACCTTAAGCCTCTGGTTATGAGATAGAGGAAATACCTACTTCTTTGGATTTTTGCAGTTTTGCAGAGGGTGTTTGTGTGTGCTTCTGTATCTAGGGATCTAGACACAGTAGGGATCTAGAAGAGACCACATTAGTGGTGGAAAATGATAAAGTTCATTGCAGGAAAGCACATGTCTAAGTTTGCCAGCTTCTCCTATCTATCTTATGGTAATAATCTGCCTCTCATCTGTGTCTTTTGATAGTGCCAGCCTCAAGTTTTATATGTCCTTCTATAGTGGCTAGCTAGCACTAAGCCCACACACCCCTCCTCTGTGTTTGGGGGGGTCCAGGGTCCCGGGTGTTTGGGGGTAAGAGGAGGGCAGGGGCATTGCCCAGAGTGAACAGTAATGTTTTTCTTTTTCTGTCATCCAGGCTTCTGTTGGGCTGACCCCACGGATATGTGAGGTATAGACTCTCTCTGATGATGTACTTTCAGAGTAAGTTTCCTATGTCAGCTCCCTTCAGGGAAATCTGACCCTCTGATTTTGTGCAGGCTCTCTTCATCAGGGAAGATGACTGTGCCTCACTGCCTTCTTCCCGCAGCATAAAAGTAAGGTAAGAACTCAAGCTCTAGACCCCTAAATGTCCTAGTTCCTTGGTCTATTTGTAAAGCTCCTAGCAGTGAGACCAGGACCTGTCCTTGATGCTTAGATGGCTTTTGGGAATCTGTTTCCCATGCTGGATTTCTTCAACCAGCCTTGATGCAGATGGAGGAGCTCAGTCCTGCCTCAACTCGATGTGCCCTGCTTTGTTCAAGCCCATGGGGGCCTGCACTTTTCTGAATGGAGGCAGAGGAGGAGTGGATGGGGAAGGTGGGATGGGTGGAGGAAGGGACTTGATGCACAGGACAGAAGGAGCGGAGGGAGGGAAAACTGTAATTGATATGTAAAATAAATGGAGGGCAGAGCTGGTAACCAAGGTAGAAAACGCTGGGGCCTAAGCTTTAGTGGTTCTTAGGGATGGCGGCAGCTGCAGCAGGATCTGCAACGTCCCAGCGGTTTTTCAAGAGCTTCTCAGATGCTCTGATCGACGAGGACCCCCAGGCGGCGTTAGAGGAGCTGACTAAGGCTTTGGAACAGAATCCAGACGATGCACAGTATTACTGTCAGAGAGCTTATTGTCACATTCTTCTTGGGAAATATCGTGATGGTATTGCTGATGTAAAGAAGTCTCTTGAACTCAATCCTAACAATCCTACTGCTATCCTTAGGAAAGGGATGTGTGAATACCATGAAAAGGACTATGCTTCTGCTTTAGACACTTTTGCAGAAGGACAGAAATTAGACAGTACAGATGCAAACTTTGCTATCTGGATTAAAAGGTGCCAGGAGACTCAGAATGGATCAGAATCTGAAGTGTCTGCGTCTCAGAGAACTCAGTCGAAAATCAAGTATGACTGGTATCAAACGGAATCTCAAGTAATCATTACACTTATGATCAAGAATATTCAGAAGAATGATGTAAATGTGGAATTTTCAGAAAAAGAGTTATCTGCTTTGGTAAAACTTCCTTCTGGAGAAGACTACAATTTGAAGCTGAGGTTGCTTCACCCTGTAGTACCGGAGCAGAGCACGTTTAAAGTGCTTTCAACAAAGATTGAAATTAAAATGAAAAAGCCAGAGGCTGTGAGATGGGAAAAGCTAGAAGGGCACGGAGATGAGCCTACACTAAAGCAGTTCACAGCAGATGTGAGGAACCTGTACCCGTCATCATCTCATTATACCAGGAACTGGGATAAACTGGTGGGTGAGATCAAAGAGGAAGAGAAGAACGAGAAGCTGGAGGGCGATGCAGCTTTAAACAAGCTGTTTCAGCAAATCTACTCAGATGGTTCTGATGAAGTGAAACGCGCCATGAACAAATCATTTATGGAGTCTGGTGGTACAGTCTTGAGCACCAACTGGTCTGATGTAGGTAAAAGAAAAGTTGAAATCAACCCCCCTGATGATATGGAATGGAAACAGTACTAAATAAATCAGTTTGCTATCACAAAAAAATAAAATAAAATAAATGGAAAAAAATGTTAATTAAGTTTTAAAAAATTAACTAAAAAAATGCTATCTTAGTTCCTTTCCTGTTGCTATGATTAAACGCCAAGACCAAAGCGACTGATAGAAGAAAGAGTTTATTTGGACTTAGGGTTCCACAAGGTTAGGATATATAATGGTGGGTACAGGAAGCTGAGAGCTCATATCTTAAACCATAATCATGAAGCTGAGAGAACTAGTGGGGACTGTCAGGAGGATTTTAATCTCGAAGCCTGCCCCAGTGACACACTTCTTCCAGTAAGGCTGTTCTGCTCACTGTCTTAGTTACTTTTCAGTTGCTGCAAGAGGACACTAGGACCGAGGCAACTGGAGGGTCCCTATTGCGAACAGCACTGAAATCTGTGGAGTCCTAAAGGTAAGGAAGATGTCTGTTCCAGCAGAGGATTCTGATTTGTGTGTCGACCCCTAAATAAATAACCATCTATTTGTTAGTTCTGAGCTAGTGTGGGATTTCTTTTAAGCGTCCTTCCACATAACTGAGACCCTTTTCACATAAATTTTTGATTTTATACTCAGTTTATGTGGTAAAAGATTCATTCTGAGATAATATCTTCTCTCTACATTAAAATTCCTGTAGTGGAATGTTAGGGGGGGTAACATGACCAAAATGCAGTTAAGACTCAGATCTACATGATCCACATGTGCCTTCTGTAATTTCTCTTCAATCAAAGCCAATTCTCTCTTCCAGTTGACAATACCCTGGGTCTGTTTAAGTCATTGTCACCAAGGTTTTGTTTAAATTAATCAGATCATCAGGTTTTATTCCAATAGTGTGCCATAGAAGGAAAATGTCCCCTAGCAATCTTTGGAAGTCATTAAGAGTCTGCCAATAGTCTTTCCTAATTTGCACCTTCGGGATTTTATTTTTTATAAACCTATTTTATAAGCTAAATAATTTAAGTTTATTATATTGCATTTAAATTAAAGATATTACACATAATACTGCTTCAAGGGACATTTAGTACCCCCTGTATATTATTCTGGGACGTGGACATACAACTGAGATCAAAAGAGACTTCTTTTTTTTTTTTTTTGGTTTTTTGAGACAGGGTTTCTCTGTGGTTTTGGAGCCTGTCCTGGAACTAGCTCTTGTAGACCAGGCTGGTCTCGAACTCACAGAGATCCACCTGCCTCTGCCTCCCGAGTGCTGGGATTAAAGGCGTGCGCCATCACCGCCCGGCGAGACTTCTTATAATAAAGTGTGATAAGGCAATAAGATAGTTACGTTAGGTGGCAAAATAGATATAGTAAATACACAACTTTAAATAAGCAGCTGAGAGATGCCTCACCGAGCTACTATTTGAGCCTCGGGATTGTGTGGTCATTAGGATGAGATTGCAAATACAGTGGGCTAGCTGAGTGCTTGGTGTACAACGAGATTCCATAAAGTCATAGTAACATTCTTACGAAGAATGTCTGAAATCATTAGGAGTTGGCTAGATTTCTGCACCCTCTGCCGGCCGGCCTTTTGGGGGGAAGGAGCACTTGATGAGTGCTCTCTGTCTCTTGTTGGAGCTCCTCACTGACTCTTCCCAGAGCCTGAGCCCTTTGATCTCTGTCTGCTTATCCCAGCTGAAGCACCACTTTCCAACTCTTCACTGTCTCTTAGATCACATCCTGAGCGATCCCAACAAAGGATGCCTTGTGAGGTCAGGTTGTAGTCCGACCCTTGCTAAATTGCTGTTGTCTTTTACTAGCCTTGTCTCTGGTTCTCATTTTTTCATCGCAAAGTTAAAAAGCCATACTAAACCAAGTTTCAGGCTCTACTCCGGGTGGGTTCTCACACAGAACCCAATACTAGCAGCTGGTGCCCCTAGTCCAAAATCTCCTCAAAAGCCTGGCCCATAGTCTCTAGCACAAACAGCAGTAGGTAAGAAATTAGGGTAAACCTGAACTCCCAAACTATGCAGCAAACACCTGATGTTTGCAGAATACCCATCCTCTCTCCATAGCCCCGCCTTCTTGGATCTTCTCCTGGGTCACACCCCAACACATAATCATCTGCCATGCCTCTCCCCCTTAGAACCCCTTGGTTGTGTCTTTGTGGAAGTGGAAGGTTGTAGGGCATCAATTGGTGTCTGTCATTGTGACGCGATAGGTAACAAACAAGGCCTGCCTGGTCGCCAGGGTAATGGCGCGTTCGCAGTTCCAAAGGCAGAAGCCTCAGTCTCGTCTTCCGACCCAAGGAGAGTGGTCGTGCTTCAGGGACGCGGAGGCGGAGGCGCTGAGTTTGGGATTCCAGAGTTGACGTGGCTTAGGTCGAGCGGGATTCCTGAGTTGACTTGGCTTAGGTCGAGCGGGGGGGAGCCCGGCTTTGCCGGTGGCTCCCACCTGCAGGTGAGTGTGGTGGGCAGGCCTCGCTGGGAGCCCCGCATAAGCCCACAGTGCACCGCACCGCTGGCCAGGGGACACTGGAGCTCAGCCGGCCGCCCCGCCCCTCGGGGCTCCGCCTCTGTCACCTGCCCATCCTAGGTGGCAGCCCAGTTGCTGCAGCCCTATGAGGCCCAGGAGCATTTAGACACCCTGGTGGCCTGGTGGCCAGCAGGGTCCTTTCTCCTTGGGAGAGGCTCAGAGGTGGGCGAGCCGGCCAGTCCTGCGTGTTTCTAGGTGGGGTGTGTGACAAAGCCTGGCTTTAAGTCTAGAGACTCCTTTATAAATATGCTAATCACCCTCAGTGGAAAACCACACACTATATGCCTGAATCTCAACATCATATACCTTATGGACTGTACAGATATGTGTCAATAAAAATAAGAACTTAAGTTTCCTATGGGTGTCTCTAAACATAATTATTTAACAGTTTCTGTTCATTTTTCTTTACAAAACCACTTCTCATTGATAAAACACAGATATAGAAAGGCACACTATAAAACATATAGTTACTGTAACAGATATAACTTGGTTGTCCATTCTAGAAGCCCTTCTTTATGCTTTCCTTTTAGTTTTATTATCCTTTTGGGAATCTTGCCCTTTTCACTTGCTACGTCTTCCATCTTTTGCTTACAACTGTGTGTTGAGAGACATGGGTCCTGCGGCTGTGGAGTTGGACATTCCGCAGGAGTGCACATGGGTTATGTGGTTCAGTGTGTTCCTCTGTCCTCTGCGTTTCCTGCAGATGTAGCAGGATGGGTGGCCTGAGTTTCCATGCTTTGACAAGACTCTAGAAGGTGGTTATCTTCTTTCTTTGGGAAGTTCATAATGTCTGGACTTTACTTTATCAGCTATTGACTGATCGGTATCTAGATACCTTGATCAGGGCCTGAAAATGTTAGAATAGTTGTTTTCTTTTTTTCTGAATAATTTTATGGGAAGGTAGTGCACACTCGTGCGTGCGTTCTTGTTTATGTGTGTGTGTGTATGTGCGTGCGTGTGTGCGTGCAGGCTAGAGGTCAGCCCTGGGTGCCCTTAGGAATCCTCCACCCTTGCCCTTTTGAGACAGGGTCTCCCTGGGACCTGTGCTGGTCAGATAAGTGAGGATGGCTGTCCAGGGAGTCTCGAGGTCTTGCCTTCACATTTTTGGTTCTAGGATTTCAAGTGTGCTGCCAGACCTGGCAATCTGTGAGCCATTCCCTCATCAGTGTGCTCGACACACTGATTAGTTAACAAACGCCAATTGGCTCTGCCCTTTGCTTGGTTTGTTGCACACCCGTGGCTACCATCTGCTTCCTCTTGAACGGACACTGCTGAAGCCAGATTTGGTGGTGGTCGTTGATTTTGACTGTTGCTACGTTAACCTGGGGGTTGATAGGAAACTTGATTGTGCAGGGACGACTTTTCTATTGTTGGGGGGCACTGTTTGTTTTGCTCAGGTTGCCCACAGGTCTTTGCTGTTCCTCTACTTGCTTTGCTCTTATCTGGGGATCTAAGAAGCACACACATGTTCCTTCTTCCCTGTTTATTGCCATCTTCTGAGTCCATCAGTTGGTTGTTTGCTTATTCCCAAGAGCGGCATGTAAAATTTAAAGACAGAATGATCATCTGATAAGTTATATTCTAGTATGAATTTCTTTAGAAGATTTATACAGATCTCTATGGAAGATTACTGATGGTGTTCATTTCCTTTATTAAAATTAATCTTCAATGGTTGGGGTGTGGATTAGCAGTTGAGTGTCTACACAGCATGCGCAGGCCCTGAATCCTCAGCATAGGGGCTTTGGGGGTGTAGCTTTTCTGAGCACAGCCTTTTCTTTATGGGTTTAATTTTCTGTTCACTGATTTCTGCTCTGGACTTTGTCTCCTGCTCTCTGCTTGTGTAGCCTTTTGTTTTCTAATTCTGCTCAGAACAAGCGGATACTGATTTCAGTCATTTACTACTGTAAATGTCTATACTCCACATTGAATAGTGACTCTCCACTGACACCACATGGTTTGTCAGGGAAACTACATGAAAGAACGGGCTTCGGGAACACATGAGAAGGGAAATTTTGATGAGTCTTGGGGTTTTATCGAAAATCAGAAAAGGATCAATGTGGGAGAAGGAAAACTTAAGATTTTTGTTTATCAATGAAAAAACATAGGGTATTAAAAGGCAGCCCTTAAGACATCCTTGACAATGATGTCCTTGCATTTAAAGATTGTGTTCTTGCATTTTATTATTCAAACTGATCCTAGTGATGGTGCGTGCAATAAGGCACCTGAGCAGGACAGGGTGTGGCACACAGCTGGCTGCACCCAGAAGCCAGTGACAGTCCCTTCTCTCACACAGATGATATGGGTACTAATGTCTAGCTGCACCCATCTGCTTTACTTACTCTCCAGCAGCCTGTATCTGTTTTTACTGATTGTTGCGCTTTCTTTCTATTTCTCTTGCAGAGATGCTGAGCCTATTTTATGATTTAGGAAATGCAGTTTTACATGAATTGTCGGGCTATAATGCCGAGCAAAATATGAAAGATCGTTTGAAAGCTGTGAGTAACTTTGTCCAGATCCAGAGTAACAAGACCTCCGTTGTGTGTTCTTCTGAGGAGAATAACTTAAGCTAGAGGGATGTGAGCAGCCTCCCTCGTGCAGTAGAAGTGATGTTTAAGAAAACCACTGCCACTCTGTAAATGATCCTGTTAGTCCGAGAGCTGTGGGGAAAGAAACCAAGTGTAGATGAGCCGGGAAAGATGGGTCTCTGCTATCTACTTAGACAGTTTACTATCAAACTGTCTTAAGAAGTTATTGTTAACCGGCGGTTGTGGCGCACGCCTTTAAACCCAGCACTCGAAAGGCAGAGGCAAGCGGATCTCTGTGAGTTCAAGGCCGGCCTAGTCTACTAGAGCTGGTTCCAGGACAGGAGCCAAAAGCTACGGAGGAAACCTTGTCTCAAAAATCAAAAAAAAAAAAAAAAAAAAAAAAAAAAAAAAAAAAAAAAAAGAGAGAGAGAGAGAGGGAGATACAAAAAAGTTATTGTTAACATCTTCCTTCTCCCCTTCCTCCTCCCTATCCTCCCTTTCCTCCTCCTTAGGGACATAACTCTTGTTCCACGGGAAAAGTGTAAAGAGTAAATTGGACTGGAACACTGTATTTGTTTATAAACCTCTGTTTATTTCTGTAAATTTGTCTGCCTTTCTTGTAGTTTGCATTGTATTTTCCAACCCTTGAGGATTCAAAAGATGTCCATGAACTTTTTCAAAGACAAGTGGCAAGCCAAAGAGTTGAGGGCTTTTGTTTTGTTTAAATAATTTTTGATAAATTATTTTAATTTAATTTAATTTGTTTGAGACAGGGTCTCGTGTATTCCAGGCTGGTCTCCAACTTGCCCTGTAGCTAGCCAAAGAATGACCTTGGACTCCTGATCTCTCAGCCTCTGCCTTCTGAGTGTTGGGTCCTAACCACACATGGGTATCGCTGTAGAGAACAGGAACCGTCAGGTATTGGGGGCGTGTGCAGTTTGCCCTGATGCTGCTGTGCCCCTGTGGCTCACAGTGGTTGTAAGTCAGCCTCGACTCCCCCTGCCCCCTGTATTATATTATCAGAAGTGTTCCTTCTGAGGGGAGTTTTTCAAGTTCTGAGCCACAGCCCTTGAGGGCACTTGTTACCTCCCAGTGCCCTGCTTAGCCTTGCCTTTCAGGGACATTGCTGTCCCTTGACTGCACTGGGGATGTGGCTCAGGAGAAGAGCACCTATGCAGTGTGGATAAGGCCCTAGGTTTAGCCCCTCCTACAGCAGGGCCACGAAAAGGAGGGGAATCTAATAGGGTTGTTTAACATCTCAAAGTTGGTTTTAAAGGCAAGTAATTTCTTTGTTTGAATTCTTTTCATCCTCTATGGTTCCTATGGCAACTCTCTTCCCCTGGCTGTGGTGGCAGGCACTAACCTTTTCCTTTTCATGTTGAAGCTTTCAGACTTTCCATGAGTCATGTTGTTAGATTTTTTTATTTTTTCCATTTTATACTCTGCATTTCACTCAGGCTTACTACTTTGCCCTCAGGCCTTAAACATGCCAGCATCTTATATCATCATTTCCTTTCCGTGTTCAATAAATGGTGTCCAGCCGTCCCAGTCCGCTCCAGCTGTCAGTCACAGCAGCCCTGTAACCACGGTGTGCCATGGTGTGCTTAGTGCAGCGTGCATGTGTGCATGTGTGTGCCTGGGGACATGGAGGACAGCAACAGAAAAGAGTATCAGAGACAAGATGAGGGTGTGTCAGATCTTTTGAAAATGGAGTAACAGGTATTTGTGGCTTCTAGGATCCAAACCCTAGTCACCATTTTTCTAGGACAAGCTTTCTTAAACTCAGCTATCTTCCCAGCCCAAAATTTATCCCTTTGTGTTAATTTTTTTTCTTGATTCTGTCGTTGCTGTTTGATTTTGTTGTGGTGGTTGGTTGGTTGGTTTTATTTGTTTTTGTTTGTTTGTTTGATTCAGGGTCTTTCTGACTGTTCTGGGACTCTAAACCAGGATGGCTTCTAAGAGAGATCTTCCTGCTTCTTGCTCCTGAGTGCTTCTATCACTTTAATGAAGCTGTAATTAAATGTCTCTAAAAGGCAAACAGTGTAAAAGATAAAATATATATTGATTGTAACTCTTAAGTAAGTGACTTCAATCTGTTGCAATTTTCAGCATTATAAGAACTCAGAGGAGCTGAAAGAACTAAAACAAGTCAAGGAGAAGGAGAAAGTGATTACCAACTTACAAGCCCAACTTCACCAGGCACAGTCAGAACAAGCCGTGAAGGTAGGAGTGAGTCACCTCGGTATTATTATCTTAACAAATCATTACCAGCCAACGGATATCCACAGCAAATGCCTCTTGTAAGACAATCAGTAGCAATCTTCTATCAGCTGGTCGCTTCCTGCCTTACCTCACTCTCTCGCTTACTTCCACATCTACTCATTTATTAGAGTTTGCAAACGGGTGTGGAATTCTCGGTTGGTATTTGCACATATTCAGTGTATTCTTCATATATGGATCATGTGTTTTCAGAAACTCGTGAATTACATGATTCATAGCATTCGGTCATCTCCGATGCTTTCATTTTCTCCTTGCAGGATTCTGTTAACCTTTATTTTTGGTTGTGTATTTTTTTTAACCAATTTTGATTAATATTTTTTAGATTTATCCTTTTCTCATTTAACTCAAGGCATTCTGTTTTGTGTTTGGCTTTCTCTTCTGAAACAACCTTTCTTTTATATCAACTTCATGAATTTTATTACTTTTTCAAACTTTTCTAACTCTAATTTTCCTTTCATGTCCCCTTCATTTTTCTTAAACATGTTTAACTATGAAATAAGTTACAGTGTCTTTCAGCATATTGTTCGGCTCCTTGTTCTTCGTGATTTTTGTTGTTGTTTTTGAAGGAAGGTCTCACAATGTAGCCCAGTTTTACCTTGAACTTGTGGCAGTCCTCCTGTCTCAGCCCGTAGAGTGCTGGATTTATAGGCATGAGCCACCATGCCTGACTTTTGAATGATATTATGTAATTGTTCATGCATCTTTTGTGTGAATGTTTTTGCTTACATGTATGTATATGCACTACATACCCCCAGAGGTCAGACAAGGACATCAGATCCCCGGGAATTGGAGTTACAGATAGCGTGGGTGCTGGTACAGAACCTGGATCTTTTCATGTGAGCAGCAAGTGCTAGTAGCGACTGAAACATTGCTAAGCCTCTATCTATACAGATCACATATGGGATTTTTTTCCTATGGATGGCCTGCATTTACCCATGATCAAAGAACAGGAAGGGTTGCATCTCTTCTAATACTAGCTGCCACCTATTCCTGCAAATACTTCTTGGTTACCTTGGATTTTTTTCACTATTCCACAGGAACATCAGATGTACCTGTATTGCTGTCTTTTTTATCATTATTATTTTATAGTCTCTAATGCCAAGAAAATCCAAATTTTCATGGTTTGCCTTTAACTTGTTTAGTGCAAGGTTTGTAGGATAGCTTCCTACATATTGTTACTGTTGTTCATGTTTTTTTGCTCACTGTCTGATTGGTCTGTCTCTTTGCTATGTTAGCTTTCAAAGAAATTGAAAAGCGTATTGCTATTGCTTCTCTCTTCTTCAGAAAAGTTTTGGCAATTCAATGATACTTTATAAATTAGCAAATAAAATTTGTTTTGCTTTAAAGTTGAAATTACAAAAAAAATAGGGTAGGTATTCAAGGCAAATGAGAAAGTCAAAAGAACTAAAAGTTGCCAATCCCATTGATTAAGTAAATATTTTCCCCCTTCAGTTGGGTAAGAATTCGGTTGGGATGGAGGAGTTCAGCCTGATAAAGGAGCAGCTTCAAGAAAAGGAAGAAATCATTAGCACTTTGCACACTGAGCTCAGACAGACACAGGAAGAGCAAGCTGCACAGGTAGGATGATGGCGCCTCCATTAGGATAGAATCCATGGGGTCCAGAATGGTGCAGGTGGCAAGTCAATACCGGCATTCACTTGATGCTTGATAAATGAAAGTGTGGTAGCTAGGATATTAAAGCCAAGCCTAGGAGGGTGTGGCAGAAGAAGCTACAAGTATGGTAAGTGGTTCATATCATAGTAGGAAACATCAGAAACCCTCAAAAATGCCATTTAGGTTGGTGAACTTGCCATAGCTTCATGATGACTGGTTTTATTCCTTAGGTCCAGGTACTCCATTATAATGCACACAGAGATTGTGTATCTCAGGTATGGCCTCTTGGCAGAACTCAAAGGAAACAGATAGATAAAACAAAGAAATCAAATTATTACTTCCATTCTTCTCTGATTAAAACCATTTTAGGAAGATATATCTTAGCCTTAAAGCTACTTACTGAACATAGACTAAAGAAGTGGAGGGTATGAGGCTCATTGCTAATGACTCTAGTATGCAGCATTCTTCTTCATGGTCATTCTGAAGCCAGAGCCAGATCAGTAGAGCTCTCCCGTCAGTCTGTCCCTCCCTGACTGCCCCTCCCTCTCTCCCTTGCTTCCTGGTCTACTCATTTTTTAGAGTTTGCATGTGTGTGTGTGGCCTTCTTGGTTGGTATTTGCACATACTTAGTGTATTCTTCATGTATAAATCGTGTGTTTTCAGAAACTGTTGAATTACATGATGCATAGCATTCAGTCAGCAGCGATACTTCTATTTTTTCCTTGCAGGTTTCTGTTAACCTTTATTTTTGGTTGTGTATTTTTTCCCAATTATGATTAATATTTTTTTGATTTATCCGTTTTCTTATTTAACTCTAGGCATTCTGTTTTGTGTTTGACTTTCTCTTCTGAAACGAGTTTTCTTTTTATGCACTTCAGGAATTTTATTACTTTTTAAAACTTTTCTAACTCTAATTTTCCTTTCATGTCGTCTTCAATTTTCTTAAACATGTTTAACTATGAAATAAGTTACAGTGTCTTCAGCATATATTTCTGCTCCATATTCTTCGTGATTTTGGTTGTTGTTTTGGAAGGAAGGTCTCACAATGTAGCCCAGTTTTACCTTGAACTTGTGGCAGTCCTCCTGTCTCAGCCTCTAGAGTGCTGGAATTATAGGCATGAGCCACCATGCCTGACTTTTGAATGATATTATGTAATTGTTCATGCATCTTTTGTGTGAATGTTTTTGCTTACATGTATGTATATGCACTACATACCCACAGAGGTCAGACGAGGACATCAGATCCCCGGGAATTGGAGTTACAGATAGCGTGGGTGCTGGTACAGAACCTGGATCTTTTCATGTGAGCAGCAAGTGCTAGTAGCAACTGAAACATTGTTAAGCCTCTATCTATACAGATCGCTTATGGGTTTTTTTTCTTATGGATGGCCTGCATTTACCCATGATCAAAGAACAGGAAGTGTTGCATCTCTTCTAATACTAGCTGCCACCTATTCCTGCAAATGCGTCTTGGTTACCTTGGATTTTTCCCTATTCCACAGGAACATCAGATGTAGCTCTATTGCTGTCTTTTTTATCATTATTATTTTATTGTCTCTAATGCCAAGAACATCCCAATTTTTCTGGTTTGCCCTTAACTTGTTTAGTGTAAGGTTTTTAGGATGGCTTTTACATATTGTTACAGTTTTCCATGTTTTTCTGCTCACTGTCTATTTGGTCTGTTTCTTTGCTCCGTTACCGTTCAAAGAAATTGAAAAGCGTATTGCTATTGCTTCTGTCTTCTGAAAAGTTTTGGCAATTCAATGATACTTTATAAATTAGCAAATAAAATTCTTTTTGCATTAAAGAGGAAATTAGAAAAAAATAGGGTAGGTATTCAAGGCAAATGAGAAAGTCAGAAGAACTAAACGTTGCCAATCACATTGCTTAAGTAAATATTTTCCTCTTCAGGTGGATGAGAAATCGGCCATTATGGAGGAGTTTATCCTGATAAAGCAGCAGCTTCAAGCAAATAAAGAACTCATTACCACTTTCCGGACTGAACTCAGGCAGACACAGGAGGAAGAGCAAGCTTCACAGGTAGGATGATGGCGCCTCCATTAGGATAATATCCATGGGGTCCAGAATGGTGCAGGAGGCAAGTCAATCCCGGTAGTCACTTGAAAAGAGTGGTAGGTGAAAGTATGTTAGCTGGGATATTAACGTCAAGGCTAGGAGGGTGTGGCAGAAGAAGCTACAAGTATGGTAAGTGGTTCATATCTTAGTAGGAAACATCAGAAACCCTCAAAAATGCCATTTAGGTTGGTGAACTTACCGTGGCTTTATGATGACTGTTTTTATTCCTTGGGTCAAGATACTCCATTTTAATAGCACTCAGAGATTCTGTATCTCAGGAACAGGCTCATGGCTGAACTGAAAGGAAACGGATAGATACAACCAAAGAAATCAAATCATTATCTCCATTCTTTTCTGATTAAAATCTTGTTAGGAAGATATATCTTAGCCTTAAAGCTACTTACTGAACATAGACTAAGGAAGTGGAGGGTAAGAGGCTCATTGCTAATGACTCTAGTATGCAGCGTTCTTTTTCATGGTCATTCCGAAGCCAGAGCCAGATCAGTAGCTCTCTCCCGTCAGTCTGTCCCTCCCTCTCTGCCCCCCTCTTTCCCTTGCTTCAATGTCTACTCATTTATTAGAGTGTGCATGTGTGTGTGTGTCAATCTTGGTTGGTATTTGCACATACTCAGTGTATTCTTCATGTATTAATCGTGTGATTTCAGAAACTCTTGAATTACATGATGCATTGTATTCGGTCAGCTATGATGCTTTCATTTTTTCCTTGCAGGTTTCTGTTAACCTTCATTTTTGCTTGTGTATTTCTTTTTTACCAATTATGGTTAATATTTTTTTGATTTACCTGTTTTCTTATTTAACTCTAGGAATTCTGTTTTGTGTTTGGCTTTCTCTTCTGAAACGAGTTTTCTTTTACATCAACTTCATGAATTTTATTAATTTTTCAAACTTTTCTAACTCTAATTTTCCTTTCATGTCTTCTTCATTTTTCTTAAACATGTTTAACGATGATATAGGTTACAGTGTCTTTCAGCATATTTTTCTGCTCCTTATTCTTCGTGATTTTTGTTGTTGTTTTTGAAGGAAGGTCTCACAATGTAGCCCAGTTTTATATTGAACTTGTGGCAGTCCTCCTGTCTCAGCCTCTTGAGTGCTGGAATTATAGTCATGAGCCACCATGCCTGACTTTTGAATGATATTATGTAATTGTTCATGCATCTTTTGTGTGAATGTTTGTGTTTACATG